AAATTGCCAAAAAAAATGCCATTATACCCATATCCGCCAGCGGGTAATATTTACCTCATAGAAAATGCAGCGTAAACATGACGTGTTGCTATAGCAACGCCTTTTGTCTACTGCGGTTCCTTATAGATAGAGAGATAGATTGAGAGAGAGAGATAGATTGATAGATAGTTATAGATAGTGCAACATCTTGGAGAATACAAGATCTTGGATGACTGAGCTCACGTTGAGGACGTAATGCATGTGTGCAGGTTACGTGCCAGTTGAATAAAGATGGACACTCGGAATGAGAGAAGTAGTCCGTGTCGTCTGTTTATGTAAACAATTATATGTCCATAGAACAAAACATTACAGATGGATCGATAGATTTGTATAGATATATAGAGATAGAGAGATTTGTACCTAAACAAAACACAAGTCTAACACCAAGCGTTTAAATCAGCACTCTTAGCGATATGTTATACTTCATGCTATCTGCACAAACGATATCAAATGAAAAGCTGAGAGTCCACAGATTCTATTGGTATAAGTTTCATCCCTGTGCGATCAAAACTCACTGTTCTGTATGATCAATAAAAGAACATTGTACCTTGAAAATCAATAGCGGGTACATTTTACCCGTTGGCGGTTTTAGGTACACAGCGACCTCTGGCGGTTCTAGTGTTAAAGATAAGAATGGGTATGAAACCCCCACAATTGAAGAATGGATAGATAACATATACATAATGGAAAAATGACCTTTTCTCTTTGCCTACCGATGAATAGATTTACTAAGTTATGGTCGGATTGGATTTCCTTTATTCGCCAGACACGGCCACATTTCGTAAGGGATAATGTGCAGCGAGGCGGTCATTATCTTGGGATCTTGATCAGCCTGAAGGTTGTTAAGTCGCTGCACATTATCCCGCTTATTACACATTCTCAACAAAGTAACGACATGACTCCCAATATTAATTGAAATGCTTTGAGAGATTTAGAAAATGTTTTTATTGATTTAAAAAATAGTTGTATTGATTTAAATTGACATGCATCCGCTAAGAAAAATAGTCCGTTGTTACCGTTTGAACTAACGTAGCAACGGCAGGAACGGCTTCGATAGCGTTTTTGAGGAGCTTTTTGATTACAGATTTGAAAACATCGCTGCTTGCTTTAAAAGTAGCACAATTCATGATGTCAAACCTTGGGAAGTATCTAGATATCCCTGCCCTAATGACAAAGGAGCTGCACACTGAATATGTTTTGCCGTTTGATGTCTATGTCTGGACCGCTGCGTAAAAAGGAGGATTTCTGCCCCGTTACTTCTCCGCTGTTTTCTTGTCCCAGTTCGGCCAAACTGTATACAGTGAAATCGACTGGACTTATTTGTGCAGATGTGAGCGTCCTTGACAGCGGTCTGTCTGTTCTGAATTGACCAATCAGAATCGAGTATTCAACTAATCCATGTAATAAATATAATTAACAAACCACTGATGAGCTGATATCCAGTTCTATCACCAAAAGAAAAAGGTTGCTTCGTCTACTTTCAAAATATTTTTAATTTCTTGTGTATTCGACTGTTATTGAGTTTGCCTCTGTTACGAAACATCCCTTTTGTTATTGTATAAAGTTCATGAACATTGTATAAGATGGACAATGAGAAGGGGAAGGTTTCAATGTATACCGTTCCCTTATTGCAAATGTTTACTAGTCCCTGTAACTGCAAGTCTATTTCAATGTAACTGGTGAAATCTTCTCAACTGTCTTCTAAATAAAGAATTGTAACCAGTAGAAAAAAATAAACCTAACCTGATGCATGTTTCCTTAAAAATGTAAACATGTCGCCCGTTGTTTCCGTGCAGATCCTCTGCCTGTAGTGCACATGGTTTCCTCCAGAGAGCACGACTGGACGGAGCAGGAGATCTCCGTGGAGTCCAGCCCAACCATCATCTACCAGGAGGTTTCCGCTGTGGAGGCTCAGTCTGCAACCTCCACCATCAAAGCCCTGCTGGAGCTGCAGCAGACCTCAGGTGAGGGAGGTGAGGGGGGGGGGGGCATGCTCTGTGGAGAGAAACATGCTCTGTGGGGAACACTTACAAAGGATTTGGGCTCCAAGTGAAGTCACATTCTGTATAAGATATGTAAGGGATAATGTGCAGCTCACTGATCAGCCTGTCGAGTTTTCCCCATAATGACCAAGTCGCTGCACATTATCCCGCTTATTACGCGGCCAGATACTAAACAACGACTCCCAAATATTAATTGAAATTATTATATTGACTTAAAATTATCGTATTTATTCCGCTAAGAACTCTGTTACTCTGTTCCACGGCGCACCAACGGTTGAAACTCCGACCACAACAACTTTATGGCAGCACTGTCCAAATCGGTTTACAGTTTCTGATCCACTAACAAGTCCTTAAAGGTCCCATGACATGGCCATTTCCACTGATCATAATTCCATTGTTGAGGTCTACTAGAATAGATTTACATTGTTCAATGTTCCAAACTCACATTGGTTTCTCATACAGCATCGTATAGTATGTGTATGCACTCTCTGTCCTAAACGGCTTGTTGGAGCTCCTGCCCCCCCCTCCCTGTGAGCCCAGTGTGCTCTGATTGGTCAGCTCGCCCACTCTGTTCTGATGAGTTCACCGCCGTTACAGCGGAACATCAGTGATGTGTTACAATGGCGTTAGCAACCAGGAAATGACACCAGTAATGACAAACAGATGAGAATGCTGCGTGGGGTCTGGGTGCCGTGTTGTTGAATTTACCAATCAGAATCGAGTATTCAACTAAGCCGTTTGTTTAAGTATAGTTACAAACAAAACAAAATGATTATTTGATATAGAAGCAACATTCACATTTCCTTTATTTGTTGCTGTTTAACCCCATGATAAATTAAGTTTATAAAACATTTCCAGTGCACTTCTTCCCTCAGTACAACTACAGAGTCATTCGTACGAATCGTACCTCTCTGCTGGCTCTGTTTCTAATATTGTTGTCCCTCACTTATTAACCCTTAGTTTATCTTATCCTAAGCAGTGAAAGAAAAGGCAGAGGCCAAACCTCGTCAGCACACCATCGATCTGAGTCAGATGGCCGTTCCCCTCCAGCTGGTTCCGGAGAAGAAGCCGAGCCCCGAGTCCCCGAGACCCTCGTCCTCCTCCGAGGCTGAACCCAGCGCAGAGCACAGCATCGCAGGTACCAATCTGCTGCAGGACGCACTGTGTGAAATATATCAGAAGACACGGCAGAATCTCAAGAACTCAATTAATTCAGTATATATTACTCAAAATAAAACAAAAAACATTATAGACTTTAAATATATAACTTAAATGTCACCTATCATGCTATTTTTAGGCAATAGCATAGGTCTCTAAAAAACATGTCTATAAAGTGTGCTCAAAATACCAAACAGATCACCCATTCTAGCCATGCCTCATATCCCTCTATTTCACTTCCTGTTTCTAAAGTACTGATTTGGGGATAAAGCTTTAATAAAAGAGGAGGGGTCTGAGCTCATGCGGGACCCGGCAGCTACTGTCTAAACTAAATGCTGCCGTGATGAAACGCCATATCATGGATTATCATGGATTGTTTCTGAAACAGTTTGGAGCTCAAAGGCTTTCTCTCTTGCCGGTTATACCACAAGGTGAGTTCATTTTTACTTCCTGCTTCTTCACACACATGCTCTCCAGTACAGGTTAGCTCTGAGTGTTAGCGATGCTAATGTAAACACCGACCATATTACGTCCAAAACAGTCGGGCATTGTTTCTGAGAGCAACGTTTCTGATTGGGCCGTGGATCCACATTTCAGATATTACGTCATATCGGACGCAAATCTGGATCAGCTCCGTTGTTCCCCGTTTTTAGAGATTTGGATACGGAGGAAAAGAGAGAGGGTTTTATTTTCTGACGCTGCGTGAGTTCCCTGACACACCGGGGACACATTTTTATGTATTAAAGACATAAAAAAGTGCATTTTGCATGATAGGTCCCCTTTAATGCATTGATTTAACTCATATTTATTATATAAATGGCTCAAGACATTTTGAAACCTTTGTTTAAGAAAAAACTACATATGTTCATTTAACTCATTTAACTCATGCTGATAGCTCACATAAACATTAAGAGTCAAATAAACATGTGTGATGTTAAATAACCTGCATTAAACACGGTTAAGTTAAAGTTAAATATAAGAGGCTACAAAACAAAATGGGCACCACCAATTGTATTGGTAATTAAAAAAACTAAGGAAACATTTGCCACAGCACAGAAATGTTTTACATTTTCATTCACATATTACTCCTAATAAACTAAATATACCGTGTATGACTTAATTAATCACATACAAAATAATCTCAAATTTGTCTAAGAAAATGATATACTAAAAACGGTGTAATTAAATCATGCTGATAGCTCACTCTAACATAAAAAAACAAATGTTACTCGCACATAAGCTGCTTCAACACTGTGGAAATGCTGTAGAAATGAAGCATGCATACATACAAATAAATACATCTAAAGTATTGACTTCTGTCCTAAGTGTGGTTAGTCTGTCCTCACATCTCTTTCTTAAACGCTCCTCTGACAGCCTGTCTGTGATTCTCCCTGCAGGGAAAGTGATCAGCAGAGCGTTGATCTCCTCGGAGGACGATAACGTGGTGATGTCGTCCAGCCAGATGCCAACCAGGCCTTACAAAATCAGCCATGTTACCGTGGTGACCAAACCGGCTGGTACCGTGTCGTCCGCGGCGATGGCGTCACACCTCGTGCACTTGGTGAGGAAACATCTGTCTGATACTCCTGTTTTTATTCTGTAGAGGATTTTAAGGTGTTTGAGAGAGAGGTGGAAGAATCTCTATCTCAATCTTTATTTATTTAGCACATTTTAAACAACCTCAGTTGACCAGAGTGCTGTACAGGGAACAAATATAAAATAACTAGGGCTGTCAGTCGATTGAAATAGTTAATCGCGATTAATCGCAAATTAATTGCACATTTTTGATCTGTTCTAAATGTACATTAGAGGAATATTTTTCTAGTTTTTAATACTCTTATCAACATATGAGTGGACAAATATGCTTTATGCTAATGTTTGTTTATTATCATTTGAACAATGACAAATATTCTCCTGAATTTTCTCAACACAACAACCTGGAACCTCTCTCTCTCTTACACTCTCTCCCGACCCTGTGTACTTCTGTGCACTGAGCCAGTTGCTCAAACAGACAAGCCTGTTTACAAATGCCGCTCCTCTGTCTTCATCTCCAGTCAAAGCATGAGACTGAAGTTCCCACTGTGGGTCACAATACGTTGGATACGATCCGAATGATCTAACGCAGCCCCTCGTCCTCCACAGTGTTAAGCTGTAGCCCCCCATTTAGCTATCGCTGTTGTTGTCCAGGCGTCTCCCCGGCAAACTTTCAAGCGTGGTCTGCCGCAAGCGAGCGGCAGGAGCGGGGCTGAGCATCAGCTGGGGGCTTGATGTTTAAAACACCTTTTTTTGTATCCATATCTCTCGCTAGAATCTCCCACCATCCAACTAACAACAACAACAACGTCAATAACTAGAAACGTATACAAATACAAAGTTCAACTAGTTTTAAAAGCCAGTGCAAAGAGGTGAGTTTTTAGCTGAGATTTAAAAAGTTCAATAGAAGTACTCGGATCATTTACTGATTAAAAATGTTATGTAAATCCTATGATCTTAATAGTAATAATAATAAATAGGGATTATAAGAATATCAAATATTTAGTAGCATTTGGTAAAACATGGAGTAGCTGAGTGTACGTATATGGATATTAAGGAAGATAATTATCAATAATATATATGGGGTCAAGGAGTCTCTTGATTTTGGGATGGTCAATAAATCAATATTATATCCACATTATATATGATCATTTATCAAAATAATCAGTGTTCATATTTTTTGAAAGCAGTTATTTTCAACTCTCCAATATCGTCTCAAAAATGTCGATATCTAATAAAAAATATTGTGATTTTTTCCCACACTGCTATTTCTTTATTTTTTACAATTCTTTATTTCGAAGACAGTTGAGAACATTTCACCAGTTGCAATGAAATAGACTTGCAGTCACGGGGAGTAGTAAACATTTGCAAAAGGGAACAGTATACAAACCCTCTCCTTCTCATTGTCCTCTTTTCTTTCTGATGTGCATCTTATACAATGTTCATGAACTTTATACAATGCTATTTGTGTTTTAATACCATGCACATGTTGTCTTCCTGTAAATTAAAGTAAAAGTGTCCTCTTTTTGTTTTCCCTCAGCCCTCTGACAGCAGCGGTAAAACAGACAGTGTGTTGGAGGTGGGGGAGCTGGAGGGCGACACCCTGGACCCCCAAACCGGCTTATTTTATCGCTCCAGCCAACCAGCTGCAGACCCAACAAAACAAACCCTCCATCTTGCAGCAACTCAGCTTCTTTCGGGCCAAGTTACCTCAATTTCCACCTCCACCCAACCACCGCCACAACTCCAAAGCAAACCTCAAATCCTCCAGCCTTCCTCTTCCTCCGCCTTCCCCTCCACCCTCACTCTGACTAAGAAACTCCCCAAACTACGGGAGCAGATTCAGCCCAAACTTTTGCCCCCGAGCCCCAAAGACAGACCCCTAACTGCACCAGCATTTGCCTCAGGAGTGAAAGTCGTGATTCAAGGAACGCCAATCAAAACCCTGGTGACGCCACAGCTCCCAAAACTCCAACAGGCGCCAACGTCCCTCCACAGACCCCTGCACACCCCCATGTCTCACCCTCCCCCCCTGCAGGCGCATCACCCCGTCAGCACCGAGAAGACCTCCTCCAGCCAGGTGAGCAAATTGTCTCAAAAAATGTAATATTTGTTTGATACTACAGTGTTGCAGGAATTTACATATGTTGGGCTATAAAGGAACTACAGCACGGTCACATGACTTCACGTCACCACCGCTAAGCTAAAGGCGGCTAATGTTGGGCTATAAAGGAACTATAGCACGGTCACATGACTTCACGTCACCACCGCTAAGCTAAAGGTGGCTAATGTTGGGCTATAAAGGAAGTACAGCACGGTCACATGACTTCACGTCACCACCGCTAAGCTAAAGGTGGCTAATGTTGGGCTATAAAGGAAGTACAGCACGGTCACATGACTTCACGTCACCACCGCTAAGCTAAAGGTGGCTAATGTTGGGCTATAAAGGAAGTACAGCACGGTCACATGACTTCACGTCACCACCGCTAAGCTAAAGGTGGCTAATGTTGGGCTGTAAAGGAACTACAGCACGGTCACATGACTTCACGTCACCACCGCTAAGCTAAAGGCGGCTAATGTTGGCCGTGATGAAGTTTAGTCGTCTCATTTAGACACTCGTTAGACACCGCCGTTTTTAAATTCATCAGTGGGGTATTTACTGACGTGTGTTATGTCGTAGAACAATAAAATCTCTTTAGCTTGTGTAAACCACAGCTTTTAACAATAAAGCCATTCTTAAACCGGTTGATTTTGAGACGAGATAACAGGAAGTGCTTAATGCTGAATCATTTCCTGGTTTAGGACTTATTTACGCACCACTCTATAGTACAAGTCATGCCTTCATGTGACGTAAAAGATGAAATGTAGAAGTTCCTGTTTATCATTCAGACGTTTTCTATGTATTTGATGAAACCATGACGAGTGAAGGTGCTGTGGGTATTTCCTACCTTCCTTGTTAAATACAATAAAACATTCATCATGTTTGCCTCAAAGACTGATTACGTTACAACGCAATGATGTATAGTTTTATTAGAGTTGCATAAACGCTGTCTGCTGCTGCTGTTCTTTTCCATTTCTGTGTCACTATGATTCAGTATGGACAGTTGGGCTAAATCATAAAGACATCAAGCAGGACGTTTACTATTTTATCAGTCACAAGATTTTAGTGTACAAAGACTTGCATTGAGGACAAAACGTACCGAAAAACCACAGAATAGAAAAGAGACGGACAAAAAACAAAAACATTCAAATAAAGAAAAAAAAATTACGTTCAAATAACAATTAAAGTAAGGTAATATGTTTCTGTATATGTATCTTTATTGTATCATTGTAAAGTATGATGAAGTACAAAGACTTACATTGAGGAAAAATAAATACAAAAAATATATATTAAATAAAATGTCAATAAAAAACTAAGAAATAAAATAAATAAATGTTTAAGAACAATACCTGAGTATATTAATAAATAAAAAGCTAGGAATATATACTGATTTTTTATTTTAAAAGACATTTTTTAGTAATTTTATCACAACAAAAATGATGCAACTGCGTCTTGATTACAAGTCATGTGCTTTTCTTTGATAAAACAACAGAAACCGAACAGGAGAGTTTTTTGATGATGTACTCAGTTGTTACGCTACCGAACAAGTTGATTTACTTTTTGCTTGCTCTAAAATCCCCCCTCAGTATCAGGAGCAAAACCTGCCAGCTGCTGTCAATCAAACACAGTTTACTTCCTTTTAAATCAGTAGTCTTGTCTGTGGAGACACTTCCTGGGGACAAAATCATGAGAGTAGTGACGTGTTTTCCATCGCACAGCAGTGCTTTGTATGTCAGACACAACAGAGTTGTTTGCAAGTGTTGCCTGTAAATTGCTCGTATAGCTAAACAAGCAAGAAAACAGCAATGACTTCAGACTTAAAAAAACTTAAGATCTAACAACACACCTGCAATTACTGCTTATTGCCATACATGCTGCCAAAAAGAATGTAAATAATAAACAGAAAATGTAAAAACTAAAGGTGATTTGATAAGACAACAACAACAACAAAAAACTTACCTTGTGTTTCTTTCTCCTCCAAATCTCCTCCCCCAGCAGCCAATCATCACTCAGAGCGCGACCGTCACTAAGATCACGTTCGGAGGCTCCCATCTCTCCTCGCCGGTGTTCAGCAGCGCCGAAGCCGCCGCAAAACTAATCCCAGAGTCCAGCTCCGTGCGGCCGTCTGGAGAGAAGCCCTCGGTGTCGGACATCTTGAAAATCTCCATGATGGAGGCGGAGATCGACCCTAGCGTGGAGCCCATGGTGGTGGATTCCTCCAGTGACTGTGGCCCTCTGGGTAAAAACCAGGCGGTGACGATGGATTCGGGTCCGTTTATCAGCAGCTCTGGGGCCCATCACTCTCTCTCAAAGGGCCCGAAGTTCAGCTGCATGCCGGGCCTCACAGTGCAGAGGAGCAAGGAGGACATGGAGGTCATCGAGGTGAGAAGATTATCACAAAATCAGGCATGTAATAATAATAATAATAAAGCTTTATTTATATATATATGTCTGTCACATATCAACCCACGGGATTGATTTTATTTATGGATATAGTAGACAACTAAGGGATAATATGTAAAGTGTAAACTTATTTTCAACATGGCCCCTGACTGAAGAACAGTACAGACAAATTCACAATACCAAAAAGCCCAAAACATATTATGTCGAATCAATGAATCTAGAAATGATCAGCAGATGTTTTAATGATAAAGGAAACTAATGTGTTAGTTGCTCCCCTAAGAAGCCTATATTTTAACTGATATTTTTAAGTAAAAGCAGGAGATACAAACAAGGACACAACAGTATTGTTAGATGAACATACATCTTGCAAAAGTTAAACAGATTTAATAGACATTTTTCAACATTTTAAATAACCAGGATCACAGTCTGAAGAAACCAAAAACACACTTTATTAGCAGAACTACCTCTCTGTTCACTATTGATTAGCATGTTTTGTCGTACTGGGGACGTGTCACTGAACCCACGTGTCAATAACACATGCAGGTGATTCCTCAGTACTCCATCCTGCCCGACTCCAGCCAGTCCAACGTGGTGGTGGAGCCCAGCGGCTTCCTGGAGATCACCAACTACACCAGCCAGCAGCTGGAGGAGGACAGCCCCATGGAGCAGGAGGTGGACAGCAGCAACGACGAGGCGACCGCCGCAAGCCCCCCCAACCAACCGTAGACAAACCATAGACCCCCCTAACCAACCATAGACCACCCTGACCAACCGTAGACCTCCCTAACCAACCATAACCAACCATAGACCCCCCTAACCAACCATAGACCACCCTGACCAACCGTAGACCTCCCTAACCAACCATAACCAACCATAGACCCCCCTAACCAACCATAGAGCAACCGTAGACCCCCCTGACCAACCGTAGACCCCCTGACCAACCATAAAACCCCCTGACCAACCATTAACCAACCATAGACCCCCCCTGACCAACCATAGACCCCCCTGACCAACCATAGACCCCCCTGACCAACCGTAGACCCCCCCTAACCAACCGTAGACCCCCCCCACCCAACCATTAACCAACCATAGACCCCCCCTGACCAACCATAGACCCCCCAAACCAACCATAGACCCCCCTGACCAATCATTAACCAACCATAGACCCCCCTGACCAACCATTAACCAACTATAGACCCCCCTGACCAACCATAGACCCCCTTAACCAACCATAGACCCCCCTGATCAACCATTAACCAACCATAGACCCCCCTAACCAACCATAGACCCCCCTGACCAACCATTAACCAACCATAGACTCCCCCAACCAACCATTAACCAACCATAGACCCACCCTGACCAACCATAGACCCCCCCTAACCAACCATAGACCCCCCTGACCAACCATAGACCGCCCTAACCAACCATAGACCCACCCTGACCAACCATAGACCCCCCTAACCAACCATAGACCCCCCTGACCAACCATAGACCCGCCCTAACCAACCATAGACCCCCCTAACCAACCATAGACCCCCCTATGATGGAGACTCTTACTGTGATGACAAAACTCCCAAAATGATGTCGATGAGAGGCTTAACTTTGCTCATCTCTGCGACCATAGAAGAGTCCGTTCTGTAGTCAACGATGTTTGATAACGAAACAAAACAATAATCAATATCGGACACACGGTCAAAAGAAAATGACTGAACATAGCTCACACTCTTCGTCTTCTTTCCCCGAACGCTGACATTCCCCAGGTGCACGAAATACAATAAAACACAACCATGAGAGAGAGCGACAAAATATGCAGACAAATTAAAATAATAAGCATTTTGGTTGCTACACTCATCCCAGTGGATAAAAACACGCTTTTTTTTTTGGTTTAAAATATTTGTTTGTTAGCGTTCCACCCCCCCCCCCCCCCACGGCTAACGGCACATGTGTTTTTCATTGCCAGTGAGGATGTAAAAACGTGGGAGCGAAGTGAAAGGATTAGTTATACTGCAGACGTGTTGGAAAGCAGCCTCTCCAAACAAGACAGGACAGACACTTACACACAACTCATTGATTATTAGGACGTCATTTCAGTAACACACCGCCAGGTTTAACCACTGCTCTCATGTTGATAGTCCAGAGTATTTCAAATATGTGATCCCCGCATTTTTTTGTAAAAAGAGACTCTCCTGTTTCCGGACTTTTGATGAAGGTTTTACCTCAAAATGAACAGTATTTTCTTTGACTTGGATATTTCTGTCAAAACCCTTAAAACGCTCGCGGGATTTAGGTTTTTTTTTTTTAGAAGGCTGGAGCAGATTGAAATGTCTGCGTGGAACGTAGAAAGAGTCCTGGAGGAAGGATACCATATGTGTTATTGTAAAATATATATGTACATGTACTGTTTTTGTAAGATATGTTAAAAAAAGTTGCTGTGAGAATTTCACTAAGATTGCATCTGCTTCTGCATAGTGTGTTTGAACTATGCATTTATTTTGTACCTTTTCAAAACTAGACGACTAGTTAAAATCATTTAATCTGCACAATAAATCTGTGAGTAGAACAAGTTTATTTGATCTTTTATTGGTTGCAAACAACAGCTGCTTAAGGTTGTAGAAAGACAAAATGACATGTTTTTATGTTAAAAATGTTTTGAGACATATAAAGATTATCTGTTTTAATAATTTGTCAGACTTTTCCATAAATGATATGGTTAAAATATCTTTAAATGACATGGACGTCTTCCCCGTTTCAAATCCAGACTTTATAAATATGCAAATTGAATCCAGTGTTTCAAGTTCCAAGTAAATTGGATATTATTCCACGATTTGCTGCCAATTGTTGCCTTATACATGCACATTTTAAAGTCCGATTTAACTCAAAGAAACGTTTCCTTTCCAGCTTTTTAGCGTCAAAGTCTGCACTTAAACAAATCAGATCAAAATCTCAAACATCCATGTTAAAATAACAATAAGTAAAGCACATTTTTCAGTTCAAAATCGCCTTAATATTGCCGGAATATCCTCCTCTCTCGTCCATTCCTTTCTCCCCCTATTTCAGAATTTGCAGAATACTGTACATTTTTAAGTTTACATAAGTCTTCAAATTTTAATAAGTTGTATTTTAAAGGTCACCTATCATGCTATTTTTAGGCAATAGCTTAGGTCTCAGATATATAAAAATATATAAATAACATGTCTATGAAGTGTTTTGCTCAAAATCACCCATTCTAGCCATGCCTCATATCCCTCTATTTCACTTCCTGTTTCAAAAGTGCTGATTTGGGGATAAAGCTTTAATAAAAAAGGAGGGGTCTGAGCTCATGCAGGACCCGGCAGCTACTGTCTAAACTAAATGCTGCCGTGATGAAACGCTATATCATGGATCATCAAGGATTCTCTCTGAAACAGTCTGGAGCTCAAAGGCTTTCTCTCTTGCCGGTTACACCACAAGGTGAGTTCCTTTTTACTTCCTGCTTCTTCACACACATGCTCTCCAGTACAGGTTAGCTCTGAGTGTTAGCGATGCTAATGTAAACACCGACCATATTACTTCCAAAACAGTCGGGCATTGTTTCTGATAGCAACGTTTCTGATAGGGCCGTGGGTCCACATTTCAGATATTACGTCATATCGGACGCAAATCTGGATCAGCTCCGTTGTTCCCCGTTTTTAGAGATTTGGGTACGGAGGAAAAGAGAGAGGGTTTTATTTTCTGACGCTGCGTGAGTTCCCCGACACACCGGGGACACATTTTTATGTATAAAAGACATCAAAAAGTGCATTTTGCATGATAGGTCCCCTTTAAATGAAAAGCTTCCAAAGTAGTTATTTCACAACATTTAGATTTAAGTGAAACACAGACACTTTCCCAGGATTTTTGTGTCAAACTGCGCAGAAAACCTCAAACATCAATGTGAAGAAGCAATAAGCAAAGCACATTTTTGAGCAATGGACGTCTTCAAAATCACCTGAAGTTGCCAGTATATTGTGATTTTTCTTTATTTTCTTTATTGTTTTATTTAAGGTCCACATGTTCAAGGACTCCCAAGAGAACAAAAAGGAAGTTATAGTTAAAAAAAATCGCTCCACTGAAATTCCTTTAAAGAAGGCCTTCGTAGAATACAAAGAGGCTCATTCACTGAACTTTTAGCAGCTTCCTCTCGTGGAGAAGGTTGAGTGAGAGCGCTGTGGTGCTGACAGGTCGAACCACAGCTCTAAAGTGTGGAGAGATGATGGAGATAGAAGTTTGAGGTTAAACCAGAAGATTGCAGATGGACATTTTGTGTACATTTGTAAGGGAGATATTTGACTTTTTAGACTTTAAAACAGGTGCAAATTAATATGAGAAGTGCCCTATTCTGCTTATTTGAGAGTCCCTTTCCTCGTGTGTGATATAGGTTTTCTGCATGTGAATGGTCTGCAAAAGCTAGTGACATCACTATGTAAAATGTGCGCTCCTATTGGCTAGCGCTCGAACACATTGTACATGATAGGCTAAGGGGCGGGACATCTCTAAGCGGTTGACCAATCACAACAGAGCCGGCCAGCCAACCAATCAGAGCAGACTGGGCTCTGGTTTCAGACAGAGGGTGAAAAGAGGTGCTGCAGCACAGACAGTATGAGAACAATAAAGAGCTTTTTGAACATTAAAGCATGGAGACACTACATACTGATATACACCTGAACATCAGCAGGAGAGGACTCTTTAAAGTAGAGACACTACATACTGATATACACCTGAACATCAGCAGGAGAGGACTCTTTAAAGTAGAGACACTACATACTGATATACATCTGAACATCAGCAGGAGAGGACTCTTTAAAGTAGAGACACTACATACTGATATACACCTGAACATCAGCAGGAGAGGACTCTTTAAAGTAGAGACACTACATACTGATATACACCTGAACATCAGCAGGAGAGGACTCTTTAAAGTAGAGACACTACATACTGATATACACCTGAACATCAGCAGGAGAGGACTCTTTAAAGTAGAGACACTACATACTGATATACACCTGAACATCAGCAGGAGAGGACTCTTTAAAGTAGAGACACTAAATACTGATATACACCTGAACACCAGCATGAGAGGACTCTTTAAAGTAGAGACACTACATACTGATATACACCTGAACATCAGCAGGAGAGGACTCTTTAAAGTAGAGACACTACATACTGATATACACCTGAACATCAGCAGGAGAGGACTCTTTAAAGTAGAGACACTACATACTGATACACACCTGAACATCAGCAGGAGAGGACTCTTTAAAGTAGAGACACTACATACTGATATACACCTGAACATCAGCAGAAGAGGACTCTTTAAAGTAGAGACACTACATACTGACATACACCTGAACATCAGCAGGAGAGGACTCTTTAAAGTAGAGACACTACATACTGATATACACCTGAACATCAGCAGGAGAGGACTCTTTAAAGTAGAGACACTACATACTGATATACCTGAACATCAGCAGGAGAGGACTCTTTAAAGTAGAGACACTACATACTGATATACACCTGAACATCAGCAGGAGAGGACTCTTTAAAGTAGAGACACTACATACTGATATACACCTGAACATCAGCAGGAGAGGACTCTTTAAAGTAGAGACACTACATACTGATATACACCTGAACACCAGCAGGAGAGGACTCTTTAAAGTAGACACACTACATACTGATATACACCTGAACATCAGCAGGAGAGAACTCTTTAAAGTAGAGACACTATGAACCTGAACATTAGCA